TAATAATAATAATAATAATAATAATAAAACGAATCGAACGATGGGAAAAAAATTTAAAAAAAAAATAACCAATTAATCGAAACTTTTTCTCTTTTTTTTTACGCCGGTATTAATAAATTAATCGATCGATAATTCGTTTCAATAATAATAATAATAATAATAGTAATAATAATAATCGTTAAACGAAATAAATTAAATCGTTTCATATAAGTATGAGAGTTTATCACGTTATTCAATTATAAGTTTTACGACGAAAAAAAAAACCGTAAAAATAATTACCCCCTCCCTCCCTCCCCCACCCTCTCGTCTTCTTTTATGTTTTTAGAGAATCTTCTAGAAAATATTTCGTAGAATAAACCGCCAAAACTTATTTAAAAAAAAAAAAAAAAAAAACCGCTTTTTTCAAATTACTAAATATAAAATTTTTTTTATGGTTCATTACCGGCAAATTACTCGCATTATACAAAAAAAAAAAAAAAAAAAAAATTTGCTCCCCATTTAATTGCTCCCGACGTTAAATTATTATCAACATCATCATCATCATCATCATCAATGCATATTTAAATAAACGTTCGAAAAAAAATTTTTTTTTTTTTCCCCCCCTATATCGCGCGTATTCCTTTAAATTTATTTCCTATTTATTAGGAAAAATTTGTCATTTCCGGTTTGGTTTCGTATAAAAAAACCCCTTTTTCCCCTTTTTTTAAGACAACACACATCCTATATTGATAACGATCGATTTTAAATGATAACAATAATAATAATGATAATAATAATTTGTAAAAATATTTTTACGACGTGTAATTAGCGAAACGATAATAATAATAATTTCTGTAATTTTGACCTCTGAATGTGTGTGATTGTTTTAATTTTTTTTTTGATTTTCCAACGATTTTTCTTATTTCGTTTATTATTAACGTCGTTATTATTATTATTATTATTATTATCATCATCATCATTATTTTTTGTAAAAAAACGTTAATTACGATTTAAACATGTCAACAACGTGATCTGACGTGACATGAGATGACATGATAATTAAGTAAAAGTTATCAGGTTTAATCAGTCACGCGCGTTATGTTTTTTAACCACTCACTCAAATGTAAACCCAATAATAGTAAGTCAATAAAAAAACAATCACGCGAATTTGTGCGTGTGTGTGTGCGTGCGTGCACATGAGTATTACGTGATCGATTATCGATTGATTGATTGATTGATTATTTGTTCGGTTGTTGATTTTTTTAAGAGAGAAAGAAAGCGAGAGAGAGAGAGAGAGAATAAAAAGTTCATTCGCGTGTTTCTTAATAATTAACGAATAATTACTAATATTTCTTCTGCTGACGCGCTCCGTATTTACCCGCCAAAAAAAAAAACAAAAAAATAATTAGGTTGGCAACACGTTTTGGCGCGAATTAAAAAAAAATTTAAATTTTTACTGTCGTTTCGAATTTCGTTATAAATAATTCAAAAACAGAAATTTTTTTCGTGACGTTTTAATACGTAAATTTAAATTTAATAGTTGCCAACCTAATTTTTTTTTTTTTTTTGTTTCGTTTTACATAAAAATGATAAAATTTAAATTTTTTTTTTCTCGTAACGGTAAATAAATATTTTAACCGTTTAAATTCCCTCGAAAAGAAAACAAAAAACGGGATGAGAAAGGGAACACTCCGGGACTCCCAGTTTTTTCTCACCCCGTAATAATGATTAAAAATTTTATCAACGTCATCCCAATAATAATAATAATAATAATAGTAATAATAAATTTTTTCGAAAGTCGACAAATTAATAATAATAATAATAATAATAATAATAATAATAATAATAATAATAATAATAATAATAATAATAATAATAATAATAATAATAATAATAATAATAATAATAATAATAATAATAATAATAATAATAATAATAATAATAATAAAATTTTTCTTTTTTTTTTTTTTTCATGAAAAAAAAAAAAAAACTTTCGTTAATTTTTAATAATTTCTTCTCACGTTTTCATCGTCCAACAATCAATCAATCAATCAATCAATCAAATATTTATCAATTATTATTATTATTATTATTATTATTAACATTATCAACGTCAATTTATTCGTTAAAAAAAAGAAAAAAGACAATAAAAAACGTACTCACGCACTCACGCACGCACGCACACACACGAACGCAATTAAAAAACAACCCATAATAATAATAATAATAATAATAATAATAATTTGAGTATTAAAAGAGAAAAAATTACAAGATACGCCATTTTTTGTTTCTTTTTTTAAATTCATCATCTTAAGATTCCCACAATTGAATTACGGGAAATGTATGTCATAATAATAATAATATTACTCTACTCAAGTTGTATACGAAAAACTCTAGCCCACTAACACTGATTTAACTCAAAGAAAAAAAAAAAAAGTTTTTTATAAAAGGAACTGGTGGGAAGGTACTTCCATCATTTTAACGTTCGTCTTCATCGTGTTTATGTGAATAAATAAAAAGTTTCTTTTACGTATTCGGCGGCAGTTTGCATTATTTTTATTATTATTATTATTATCGTCTCGAGTGAATATTATTTGCAAATCATCATCATCATCATCATCATCATCAAAGTTTTTTTATCGAATATTGTTCGGTTATATTATTATTATTATAAAGGGGGTACTTTTAAAAAAATGTATTGTTACAAAATAATTTTTTTATTTTGTGGGATTTGTGTGATATCTAGTCAACAAACGGAAAATTCGGAAAAATCGGTCGTGACGCAAACGACGCAGACACCGTTAAAACGTTTAAATGCGGAAAGAATTGGAAAATTTATGAATTTGAAAAAACTTTACTACAACGGTTACAACAACGATGTAACGTACGAAACGACAAACGAAATCGTAAACGTTTCGGAACAAAAAAAAAACCAACGAGATGATTCAAAGGATCCGGATGCTGCGCTCGCGGGACTCTATACGGAATGCGTTTTAACATTTTCAATTCCTTGTTTGCAAAAAAAATTTCTCGTGTTTTTAGATCGTCTCGGACGAATGGATCATTTCAATCTCATGTTCGGTGATTTTTTAACGGTCAAAAGAATCACGAGAGAAACGACGAAACCCATAACGGAAAAAGCAATCGAAGCGAGAATGAATTATCACGGATCGGAAGAAGATTTAGAAATATTGGTCGATTACGCCATAGAAAGGTTAGTTAGTAGTTGAATCGCGAGGAAAACGTCGACGGAAATCAATTTCCGGTTTTTCCCGGAAATTGATTTTATCAAACGACTACTACATCCTTTTTTAATATAAATAATAAAAAAAAAAAAAAAAAAAAAAAAAAAAACATCCCGATTTTTATAAATTATTATCGAGAGTAAATAATTTCGGGTTCGACAAACAACAAACGACAAACAACCTCAACAACCTCGACAACCTGAAAGGTTTGACCCTTGCAAAAAACAACAACAAGCTTTTCCCCTCCCCCTCCCCCTCTCACCCTTCCTTTTCTCATACCTTAAAAATAAAAAAACGTAAAAAAGTAATTAACGACGTTTGAATTGATTAAGGTCAACAACAATAACAACAACAAAAATCTCGCGACATTTTTTTTTTTTTTTTTTAAAACTCTTTTCGACCTCGTGGTTTTAATATTCGTGCCTGTCATTTCAGGTTCAAATCTTATACGAAAAAAAAAAAAAAAAGTCTTTATTCTTTCGATATTACAACTCACTTTGTTTTCTTCTTCTTCCTTTTTTTTTTTTTTTTTTTTTATTTCCTCATCATTAAAAAAAGTTAACCTTAATTTATGTCTTCAATAATAAAGTAATACGTCTTGAGTAACATGTTTGTTGTTATGTTCTATGTTTTATGTTTTCGTATCACAGGTTTTTCAACAGTCACAAATTAAGAATAAAACTTCCTTTTGGACTTTCCGTAACCGACACCGAAGCGAGGGGTAGAAGTTCAGAATCAAATGCCATCGATATCGGATTTGCAAGAGGTTTTTCAGAAGGTTAATTTCTTTTTTTTTTTTTTAAAAAAAAAAAAAAAAAAAAAAAAACAAAATGTCGGTTGAGTTTGAAAAGAAAATGAATTTTCTAATTGTTTTTGGTTTTTTTTTTTTTTTGCAGGTAGAGGAAAAAAGAAAAAAATGATGATGATGATGATGATGATGCTTAAAATGAAACTCATGATGGTTTTACCAATGATTGCAATGTTGATCAAATTGAAAGCTTTGAAAGCTTTGATATTGTCAAAGATTGCATTGGTTATAACTTTACTGTCACTGATGAAGAAAAAAATGACGAAAGATGACAAACATAAAATAGTCATCATTCACGATCCTCATCATGGTGGAGGCGGAGGCGGCGGAGGTAATTTCCCACCCCCCGGACCCCGGGATTATTATAAATGCGTATTGTATATCGAAACGAGTTAATTTTTTTTTTAAGGTCATCACGACGGTTACGGACCATCTAGCGGTGGTGGTGGTGGTGGTGGAGGTGGCGGATGGTCAAGCGGAGGTGACAGTTATTCCTCGGGTGGTGGAGATCACGGAGGAGGAGGCTGGGGAAGAAGCTGGAATCAAATCGATGCTCACGATTTGGCGTATAGGAGCCACAACGTAACGAACGCATCCTAATCATCAGCCATATAAAAAAATTTAAACTCTAATTTTCCTTTCTCTCTCTCTCTCTCTCTCAACTTATTCAATCAATCATTCATCTTTTCCCTTATCATTATTATCATCATCATCTTTTTTGTTATCGCCTGAAGAAGAAATTCATCAACAGGTATTATTGTAAAATGGCGTTTAAACGCTTTTATATAAAAATTCCTACGCTTATTTTTGTTTAAAACTTATTCGTCAATTATTTATTATTTATTTATTTATTTATTTATTTATTATGTATTGTATTTATTTATTTATTTATTTATTATTATTTTTTAAATTTATAAGTATAGTATTAAAACGTACGTAAAAGACTGACGAAAAAATAATTAATTTAAGTACGCAAAAACAACTCATGACAATTAATAAATAAAAACACGAACGAAACGAATTATTCAACGACTGATGACTAAACAAACAAACAAACAAACAAACAAACAAACGACAGACAAACGTACAAACAAACCGTAAAAACTATATATTTTTTACTTGATAAAAATTACTCTTATTGGGCACGAAATATACATGTATAGCTTAAATAAAAATATTTTTAATAAAATAATATTAATTATCATCGCATCGGTATTATTATTATCATATTTTTTAAATCTCCTCCTTTCCTTTTATTATTACTCTATGAAAATAAAATTTCGATTGATTTTTTTTTTTACTCTATGATCAATAATAAAAAAAATTTCATTCGTACGTTTGTTTGTTCACACGGGTTTTAAACGCTTCGAAAAGTTTCCCTATCCCTATCCCTAAGGGAATGATGATGATGATAATAATAATAGTAAATTTTTTCATTAAAAAAATTATTATTATTATTTTATTTTAAATCGTCCTCGACTAAACAAACTACAATAAGAAAAAAACAACTAAAAGCGACTAAAAAACGACTAAACAAACCGGAAAAAATTTTTTTGATTAAAGTACTCAAATAGTATAAACATAATTTTGAAGGGGTAATAATTCGATTTTCAATTCATAATTTTTCGCAAGTATAAAATTTCCCCCCTCCGCACCCCTACTCCCTATCCCATCTCATCTCACTCTCTCTCTCTCTCTTTCTCACCCCGTTTTCACCATCAAACTACTAAAACGAAAGGAAAAAAATTAGCAAAATGATACAGCAAATATGTATATATATATATATGTATATAAAATACGCGAGACCTCGTTCCCATAGGTTTTCTTTTCATTTTGGCATTTGACTGTTTTTTTAACACTCTTTGTAATTTTCGCGTAAATCGATAATTAAGGCGTGTTTCGAATAAATTATTTACTTGACCGTAAGAAAAATAATATCCCTCTCCTCGTCGTATACATACAAACATTTTTTTTTTTTTTTTTTTCCTCGTATCGAAAACACGGTCGAAATCGATATTTATACATATATACATACGGGAAAAAAAAAATCATGCTCTTAATGAGCTTAACTTAACCCCAGCGTTTCTCTTTTTTTTTTTTTTTTTTTTTTTTTTTGTGATTTTAGGTAAAAAAAAAAAAAATTTCTCTTTTTTTTATTCACTCCCGTTCGACGAATTAAATTCTTTACCACTAACAACAACAACAACAACAACAACAACGAACGTGAATAATCAAATAATAATAATAATAATAATAATAATAATAATAATAATAATAATAATAATAAAAACAAATTTAAAATTCAAACGATATTCTTTCAATTCGTACATAATAATATTAATATCGAATCGTGATAATAATAATTTATTCTTCGTTATTATTATTATTATTTTTTTTTTTCTCTTATTCACGATTCAATAATTTTTCATCATTATTATCATTATTATTACCATCATCATCTTTATTATTCATGAATGTATGTAAAAGATTATTAAAGGTTAAAAAAAAAAAAAAAAAAAAAAAATTATTTACTAATTAAAATAATTTTTTTTTTTTTTTTTAATTGAAACCGACCCAAATAATGAAATTATTTTACTATTACTACCATTATTATTATTATTATCATTATCATTATTATCGTTATCGTTACTACCAGTATTATTATTATTATTATTATTATTAAACGCGAATCGATAATCATCATTTTGAAATTCCACGAGAGAGAATTTTAATAAAAAAATTTTTTTAATTTGTTTTTTTTTTTTCTTTTTAAATTAAACGCGAATAATTTTTGACACAATTACTCTCCGTACACGTGATTCGTTATTATCATTATTATCATTATCATTATCATTATTATCATTATTATTATTATTATTTCGAGACCTGGAGTTTGTTATTTTTAAATGACTATTGAAATTTAAAAAATTAAATACCGACTCTCGTCCGTCGCACGGTTGTTATTTTGTTTTTGTTTGTTTGTTTGTTGTCGTTGTCGTCGTCGTCGTCATTTTTAATCAATCATTCCACGTTTCACGTAGTAAAAAAAAAATTTTTTTAATAAATAAATTTTTTGTTAATAAAAATAATGATGATGATGATGATGATAATAATTAAAAACAATTCGTCACCGTTCCAAAAAAAAAAAATTTTCACGTAAATAAAAATGAAATTTTTTTTTGTATTGATCGTTTAAGAGTGAAAATTTTCTCGGCCTCATAATTAGTTATATCACGATTAATAAATTATTATCATTATTATTATTGTTCCTCCCCCCATCCTCCCCCTTTCCCCCTCCCCGAACGTACTCCTTCCTTTTAATAAAAAAAAAAAAAAAAAAATTCACATGTAAATAAAATAATCCGGTTTTTTTTTTTTTTTTTTAAATTTTTAAACGTCAGGTTCGACCCCGAAAAGAAAATAATAAAATATACGATAATAATAATAATAGCAACAACAACAACAACAATCAACAAACGCAACAACAAACAAACAAACGAACAATTTACCCGTTGTTGTTTTATTAAAAATAAAATAAAAGGAGGTATGCACGCTTCATTGAAATTTTTTTGACAGATTCATTGCGAGATCGAAGGGGAAAGAGAAGGGGAGGAGGCGGGAGGCGGAGGGAAGAGAAAATAAAAAATCTAAAACCACGTTTTGGCGGGAAGGCATAAAATAGTAGGAAAGTAGGGGAAAAGGAGGAAATTTTTTTTTGGGGTCATCACATTATTTTTTTGTAAACCAAACGAAAGTAATAATAATAATATGACCCGAGAGACGTTTCACACAAAAATTTTTTTTTGACCTTATCAATAAACAATAATGATAATGCAAATTTCTCACGTTCGAAAGAGAGAGAGAGAGAGAGAGAAAACAATAAATAAATAAATAAATAAAATTTTTTCGATTGTCTCTCTCTCTCTCTCACTTTTTATACGAAAAATTTTCCGTCGTGAAATCGTCGTAGAAACGCGACAGTATTCGGCCGAAAAAAAAAAAATAAACAAATGAGAATTTCGTCTAGTGACACGTTTACGATAAATTACCCGCGGATTTCTTACACCCGAATTTCATAGAGTATAAAAACATTTACGAACGTTAGTTAATTCTTTATGAAATAACAACACGTTTTTTTTTTTTTTTTTCAATTCGACGTCAAATTTTGTCGAAATTTCGCAAAAAAAAAAAAAAAAACGTATTCGAAAAAAAGAGAGAAAGAGAGAGTGAGAGAGAGATAGATAGATAGATAAAAAAAACATAACTTACATTTATTATTTTCTGACCTTTTGCATACTCGTCCGAATCCTTCCGAGAATGTTTTTTTTTTTTTTTTTTCTTTTCGCATTACACATATATAAAATTTATTTTCTACATATTCGTATATAACCTCAATTAAAATAACACCTGTAACAATAATTTCGGCCGCCATTATTATTATTATTATTACTATTATTATTATTAATAAAACCTTACCAGGGGCAGGGTACGAATACGATGTATGAATGTAAAACGAAAAAAATTCGTGACACGAAAAAAATTGTTTTTATTATTTTTTTCACACGTTTTTATTTTCCCTTTTTAAAATCATTATAGTGATGATGATGATGATGATAATAATAATCATTACTATTATTATTATCATTAATAATAATAATAATGATAATAATGGAACACGTGATATGGACATTTTAATGATGATGCGTGTGATAACGTTATGATAAAAAATTTAATAATGAACGATCGATCCCGGGATTTGACCTCATTATTGAAACATTTCCTGACCTAAATTCAAAATATTTTCCCGCCAAAAAAAAAAGGCGCGAACTTTTTAATTATTTAAAAATTTTTAAAAAAATCCTACGTTCGACGCATAATTTATCGGAAAAAAAATAAACGCGTTCTCCCGTATTCGATTTTTTTTTGTTATTTTTTTTTTTTTTTTTTGAAAAAAAAACGCGGGAAATTAGAAACTGACGATAATAATAATAATAATAATAATAATTAATAAATGTTTAACGTGTATTTAACGTGATGCGTAATGAAACGTTCGTAAAAAAAAATTCATTTAAAAAAAAAAAAGAAAAATATGTGTATGTATTAAAAATTTCACGGATTGATTAACTTCAAAACCCGAAAATTATTTAATCATTTTTTAATTTTTCTAGAAAATTTCAAAAATTTTGTTTACTTTTTCTTCTTTCACTACTTCATCTTTCTTTCTTTTTCTTTTTCTTTTTTTTTTTTTTTTAAATTAAGAACGAACGTCTCAAAAAAGAATTGATTAAAATAACATCTATTGTAAATTATTTTCTTCATTTAAATTAAAAACGTTTTGAGATTAAGTATCACTTAACACGAATACTCCGAGAGAGAGAGAGAGAGAGAGAGAGAGAGAGAAAGAGAGAAAAAAAGCAAAAGACGTGGAAGAAGAAAAATACAAAAGAATTTTTTTTTTTTTTTTTTTAATTGTTCAATCAAATTAAATTTTTTCCCCTGCTAAATCTCATCCCACAATTGTTATTATGTTCTAATTAAATTGTTTTAAATTAAAACAAAACAAAAAAAAATGTTCGTGTATGTAACTTAAGAAAATGAAA